CAATAAAGGCCTAATGCTTTAGAAGCATCATCCAAGATAGGCTGCTAGATAAGAATACTGCAACTTATAGAGCATTTTATACAGAACAGTGCTGTTTTTTGAATGACTCTATAAAAAGAAAGTTGGACATATAATACGGTTGAAAAGTTCCTAGGCTATATTCATAATTCATCTCCTAGTCCTGCACAGTTCTTGTTACAAAATATAAATGTGTAAAATAAAACAAAACAAAAATAAATTTGTAAACTGAGAACTAACAACAGGAGTCATTCAACATTGGATGCATTAGCAAATTATCCTTTGGATACTTTAACCTTCTCATCAAAACTATTATACTTTCTTTCCCTGCCTTTACCTCCAGTAGACTGACATTACAGACCTCTTTTACCTTAGGGGGGTTCAAAAGAAAGTCAGCACTTAAAAGCACTGTTTAATTGATGCAGCACTCCAAATTAAAAAAAAAAATAACCCTTTAGTATAGACACTTCCCACTACACAAAAACCCCCAAACCAAACTATAAAACATGCAAGAACGACCTGTTAATATTCTTTTGAGTCATTAAGTGAAGCACTGTCAGGGCTGAGGAAATCCGATATTTACAATAAAACCTGGCTGATACAGGTGATAAAATACTGCACTAAAAAATACTTTTTTTTTTCCCCTCAGCAAAGAGAATGCTGACATTTAAATAGCGAGAGAAATCAAACTAGCTTTTAATTTGAAAAGAAGTGAGAGGGCATTTCTTTGCAATCCCAGGAGAAAGAGGCAACAAAGTATATCCTGATGTTGTGGGAGAGCTGTCAAATGAAGCACATACACTTGCCTCATGCAGCTGGAAAAAAATTTTTATATCGACTATTACAAAACATTTGGAAACTAATGGAAGGTCTTAGGCTCACTGGTCTGTTAGGAAAGGAAACAAAGATGATCATCTGCAGGATTCTCGGTGCAGTATACGAATTAGTTCTAATGACCACACAGCCAAATATCTCCAGAGGAGAGAAACAGCCACCAGAGGTATGTCTTAAATTGAGGTTTCAAAGAATGAGAGCCCCATGGTTCTGCCCTGCTGCAGCAGAATTTGGATTCTTCCTGCAAGATCTCAAATTATCTGTAACATTCATGAAACATTTGGAAATTCATACTGTTACCTCTGAAGCTTCAAATGTCAGCAACAGTTGACTCACTAGAGCCTGAAGTAGAGCAGAAAGTACGGGCCAAGGTTTCCTGTCAGGAATCTGTAATTTCAGGGAGAAAACGGGACTTTGGAACTCAGCTTCTGAAATGTGTAAGGTAAGGGCTGTCATCTGATGACCACCATCTCCTCATTTTTGTAGAAGGTCCTCTAGTGATTGCCTGACACCTGCTAAGGCTTAGGACAATGTTCACCTTTACAATAATTCTTGATGAGAGTCAAGATGGAGCTAGAATTACAATTTTTTATCTACAACAATTCTTTGGTACTCTCAGGTTACCTGTTACAGCTGACCAGAACAGGAAGAAAATTCTGTAAACTTAGTTCCACCAAACTCATTCAACCTCTCAGGTCCTGTTGCAATGCCAGCATGGCTCCTTGTTAAGTGCCACTACTCGGGTATATGCTTAGTTAGAGGAACGTGCTGACTACTTTTACACTGAATAACAACTAGAAGGAAATAACCTTTGGTCTAGGTTAGAAACCTACAAATGACTGATTTCCTGTCACCTAAGTAATCCTTTCAGTAAACTGATGTATTCATAGGTAATAACAAGCATCTTGTCCACACGGCTTTTTGCTTTGTCTCCCTCTTCCTTTTTATACTATTGCTTCTATTTACATGCCTCTGTCTTCACTTTGCTGTGAACAGAAATATCAGAGATGGATGTTTAAAGGAGAACTGCCACACGTGGTTCTTTTGACTAAAGCCTTATTCTTTCTCAGAAGGTTGAGGCAGAGGTTTATCCAACAGTTTAACATTTAAGCATTGTGCCTTATACACTCTACTGCTACTTACGCTCTCCTTCTCCAAGGAGAAGGACACATCAGCATAAGCTGGTGGCGCTGTTTGCATGATGCAACGAACTGTAAGAGCCCTCCCCTTCATGCCTTGGTACATCCCAGGGGAACTACAGTGACCGGCATGCCATGCTCCAACTCGGGAACAGCCCCGCTGCAGGCAGATACCTGTAACCCAGCACACAACAGGTGCACAGGAACACCTGTGAACTCCGTGACATTATAGTACACGCTTCATACATGGGAATTTAGCGTGTACATGTCTGACACGGACATAAACAGGAAAGGAGCAGAAGCACCTGACACATACCAGGCATTATTCATGCTGCTGGGGAAAGCATATGTAGGCTGCTTCCATCACCTCCTACATTTCACTTTGAGCCATGGCTGCTAGAACTTAAAGTCATCCTGCTTTCTTTTCAAATCAGTGCAAAATAATTACTCACGGTTCCTATCCCAGAGTGAAATTAGGGATGAAACCAGAGTGGGTGTCACTGTAAGGAGAGGGCTGTGGACTGCTTCCATCCCAGATGTTCATTCCCTGAACTATGCCCCCCAGACCAGGCTCTTGTCCCTACCACCCTTCCAGAACTTTGTTAATACAGGACACAAATCCAATCTCCAAGGATGTCCTATGAGAAGCTCAGAAAAGTTCGTTGAATCATTCAAGTGAACAAGAAGCAGATGGAAGTTTTTTGAAGGTTTTAGCAGAGTGCCTCTGGCTTGACGGCCAAGAAAGCTTTCCTAGAATCAACCCCTTCAATGACCAAGAAGCTTCACTGCAAGCACGTATTTTAAGCACATTAATAAGCAACTATAAAAAGATCTCCATAAAGACAGTGCTCTGTTTCAAGGCTGGGCCTACAAGTCAAAGTCCATTATCCTACAATTACTTAAAATTAATCTCCATTTTTCCTTCTTAGTAGGTTAGTCAGAAACATGGGGAGAGGGAGGGAACAGTTCTAAATTTCAAGGTATGACACACTAATTCTTTAAAGTTCATGGATTTTTGTAGAGGCAATTAGAGTAGACTCTAGCAGAAAAACTATTTCACATAATATAAACATTCTTATGAAATGAAAAGCATGACTAAGTTTTGACTGATAAAGAGGTAATTTCTCCTCCTGATCGGGAGACAAATTTACTTCATAACCAATAAATGATTCTGCATCTTAGTAAATATCTTATTAAAGCCAGCACTGCCAGCTCCACTGACTTAGAAAGAAAATTAAATAATTCCTGTTGACTGGCAGTTACTGTACTTTCCTAAGGTCTAAAAATGGTATCAGTTCAAAGGTCCATCCTCTCATTTTGTTTGTCAAGCCAAAGTATACAGACTAAACTAGAATCTGCTTCTACATACCCTGTACTACAACCACCAACATAATCACCACCTCTCAACTTCTGTATGAACACATGTTCAGAAAAGTTAAGATTATACAATACCATTTAAGCAAAATAAAGTGATCCTGTATGATCCTTCCAGACACCTAAATATAGCCTGGCTCATCTGAATGACTTACTTCTTGCCACAAGGAGGAGTCCACCAGGTCAGGCCACTTCTGTAATAATTTGGAGATGCTCTAAACTTCATTTGCATAGCAAACTAATTTTCAGCTAAGGCAGTAATTTACTGTGTTTTTCCCCCTTGCTATGTGCCTAGTCACACCGCTCTTGTCACTTGTAAGTAGGCAGTTCGGACGCTCAGTCCAAAGCATCCCTTTTCTACTGTTCGCTGACGTGGAAGGTCTCTACTCTCACCAAATCCACGGGAACAACTCTGGCGATGCACTAAGAACCATAGCTCCAAGAGGAAAGAAAGATACAATAACCCGATCTTTCCTAACATACAGAAAACTCGCATGTTACAGGAAAACTACACAGTGGAGTGTGCGGTCTCACCTTCTACTATTTCCAACAGACTTTAAATTTCCAACAGGTTTTAAAAGACACCACTTTTAGAAATTCCAGCGGGCCCTATCCTCCCCAGTCTCCACTGACAGCCACCAGCCGTCAGGAAAACGAAGCCCAGCCGACACGAGCCTGTCGGGAACCGACCTCCGCGAGCAGCGAAGTCAAAGCAAAACGCAGACACGAAGCCGCATCCCAAAGGTTAAGGTCCACGTCGCAACCCGCTCCCTCCGAAGGGCCGCCCGCAGGCCCACGGAGCTCCCCCCGCCCCGGCCCGGGCCCGCGGTACCTGCGCGGGGCCGGCAGTGCTGGCGGCGCGGCGGCTCATCCCGCGCGGGGGCCCCGTTCACCCGCCGCGCCCCGGCCACGGGGGGGCTGCGCGGCCCCGGGACCGCGGCCGCCGCCTCCAAGCGCCGCGGCCGCCGCGGGGCTCCGGCCAGCGCCCCTAATCCTCCTCGGTGCCGGCCCCGGGGTCTCGCCAAGAGTTCAGCGCCGGCGGGGGCGTGCGGCCGGGGGCCAGGCCGGGGCTGCCGCTGCCCTCAGAACCGCGGGCTGCCCCGCACCGCCACCACCGCCATCGCCGCTGTTTGTTTTCATCCGCTGCGGGCGGGGGGGGGGAAGGAAGGAAGAAGGGAGGGAGGGGAGGAGGGAGGTGCCTGGGTGTCCGCGGCGGCACTTTCCGCAGGGAGCCGCCACTCCCCGCCTGCTCTCGCCGCGCCGGGACCGCGGGCCGGTGGGGCAGGAGGTGGCTGCGGTTGAGACAAGCGGGGCAGCGCCCGGCGCCGCTCCCGCCGGGAGCCCCTGGCTGTGGCGAATCTACCGCGGCGAACGCGGGGCCAGGCCGGCGGGGACCGCTGGGGAGCGGCCTCGGGGCGGGTAAGGGCCGGGCCGAGCCCGCGGGGGTCGGGCCGCCCGGGGGTCAGGGGCGCCCGGAGTGGGCAGCGCCCGTTGGGCCTGTGGGACCCCCCGACCGGCTGCCCGCGGTTCGTGTCTGTCCTGCCCAGGCGGTGGCCACTGGAGACGGCTCCAGCACACCCCCCCCGCCACGGGAGGTAAATTCCTGCCAGCGCCGGGCAGAGTTGTCGGCTCCGCGGTGAGCCCACCTGCTGCCACCCCTGTGTTTTTAAAAGCAGATACAAAGAAGTAAAGATATTTGCTGGATGGTCAGCGTAAAAGGAAAATAGCAACGGAGCTCACCAGTAACAACTGTTCTGAGTCTCCTTCCCCTTTGCTTTATGCAGGTGAAGCCTCTGGGAAAGCCCTGTCACGGAGGAGCCCCAGGGGACCCCTGGCCGTCAGCCATGGCTGTACCTATCGCGGTTCTTGACTGCGACCTCTTGCTCTATGGCCGTGGACACAGGACTTTGGATCGCTTCAAGCTGGAGGATGTCACAGACGAATATCTAGTATCCACGTACGGCTTTCCCCGACAATTTATTTACTACCTGGTGGATCTTCTGGGTGCCACTCTCTCACGCCCTACGCAGCGGTCCAGGGCCATCAGTCCGGAGACACAAATACTTGCTGCATTGGGTTTCTATACCTCTGGCTCCTTCCAGACTCGCATGGGGGATGCAATTGGCATTAGTCAAGCCTCCATGAGCCGTTGTGTTGCCAATGTAACTGAGGCATTGGTGGAAAGAGCCTCACAGTTTATTCACTTTCCTGAAGATGAAGCTACTGTGCAGAGCCTAAAGGACGACTTTTATGGGCTGGCAGGCATGCCGGGAGTGCTCGGGGTGGTTGACTGCACCCATGTGGCAATCAAAGCACCAAATGCTGAGGACCTGTCCTATGTGAACCGAAAGGGTCTCCATTCCCTGAACTGCCTGATGGTGTGTGATGCCAGAGGAGTCCTCCTCAGTGCAGAAACACACTGGCCAGGCAGCCTGCCCGACTGCACAGTGTTAGAGCAGGCAGCCCTCACAAGCCAGTTTGAAACTGAGCTACGTAAAGATGGCTGGCTACTTGGTAAGCCAATTTTTCCTCCTTCTTCTCAGTGGAAAGTCTACTATATATTGTCTCCTTATTGAGTCAAGAGCCTCAATGCTTTCCTGCCAATTGCTTTGAGATTTGTGATTCAGTTTGGACAATCCTTACCTTAGAAGTTTAGGAGAGTAACTTCCAATCTGTGTTTTATACAGTCTGATTATTGTGTGTATTAGTTTACATTTATTCTGTTAAAAGCTTGTTTTAAGTATCTTACACCTTTCTAAGCTGAATTATGCCATTTTTAATTCTAGATAGGGTCCCAGTTCGGCTGTCTTTCACTGGTTTATGCAGTAAATGAATTCACTTAAAACTCTTCCATGTGTTCTACCAGGATTTTCTTGAGTAAAACTGAATGCCTTTACTTTGTCACATTTGTAAACTGGAGTTATTGTTGCCGTTTCACGCCTTCTGTTTTAGCCGGAGAAATAAGTTATTCTGTATCTGCTGTACCAGAAAACTGAGAGTGAGGAGCTGAAATCTGTAGCTGTGGGTGTGTAACCTTCTCCTTTTCACTGCTAACAGGTGACAGCTCCTTCTTACTGCGGACGTGGTTGATGACCCCTCTGCATATTCCCGAGACACCTGCGGAATACCGGTACAACATGGCCCATTCTGCCACTCACAACATCATCGAGCGGACGTTCAGAACCATTCGGTCGCGTTTCCGCTGCCTGGATGGCTCCAAAGGCACCCTGCAGTATTCTCCAGAGAAATCCAGCCACATCATTCTGGCCTGCTGTGTGCTTCACAACATCTCCCTGGAACACGGGCTGGACGTGTGGTCTTCGCCAGCCACAGGACACATGGAACAGCCGGAAGAAGAGTATGAGCAAATGGAATCAGTGGACTCGGAAGCCTGTCGTATTCGTCAGGAACTTTTACTTACTCATTTTAGCTAATGTTGTGACAGAGAAAAGGCTTCTTACAGTTCATCTGGGAAGTTATCCAGAGCAGATATGCCCCTTTGTCTTCTTTAAGTCAGTAAAGACCAAGCAGATGTGAGACAAGGAGAAATTTTACACTCTTCATTTCAGGCGAATTTCTGAACTTCTCTCAGTTTCGTCAGAGATGCAATTTAATTGTTAAAGTTTTACTGTTGTGATACTTAGAGGCTCCCCTTTTACCTGACTTAGAGAACAATGACTAATGTGACATCAGTGAAGAAATTTGGGAAGTTGCCTTTGATAATGATGAAAAATATGTAAACCTTGCACTTTTTTACAAAGCAACAATTCTATGCTACTGTGTAACCCAAAACACTTATGATTGATTTTTAAACAGCATTTCACACAAATTAAAATTCCATGTGAGCTCCTGTCTACGATGAATTCATGAGCAGAAAAGCAAACATTTATCTTTTTATTTGCAGGTATAAATTCTTGCTAAATACCTTTTTGCTGTTTTGCAAATCTCACAAAACCCAATGATTTCTCTGAAAGCTGAACTGTGTTCTGGGAAGGGTCTGGCTTTTTGCTTGCACATATCTAGAGAGTCAAGAAAAGTTGAACGTTTCTTCTTTCCCAGATAGGCTGGAGAAGACGTTAAGCTATGGTTGACTGTCAGGTACTTAACGGACATCAGGACATAGGCAAGTGAATGTTAAGAGTCTCGTTTTTACTAGGTATGTCTGCTGCAACAGGAGACTTGTCATCTTGTTGGCTGCTGTAAAAGAAATTTCAAGGAGTGACTGGGTCACAGAAATTGAACTGATTGCAAAACTTCTTCGTTTAGATCAAGCTGAGGTACAGAAAGGCTGCTCTAGCGCTGCTGGCAATCTACCTCTTCAGTGGAATGAGATGACTGATGCACACTGTTGTTGCTGGCACAAGGCTGGGCAGTTTCCTGGCAACATTCTCCTTCTAAAAGGCTCAAGTGTTTCCAAGGATCTCATGACAGCAGTCTGAGAAAATTTTGGTTCTTACATTTTATTGTTTGCTGGGCAGTAAATGAAACAAAATATGGGGAATGCGGAATGCTACAAAATTGTAGCTACTTAACGCAGCAGTGCAAACATCTGGCACAGCAGGTCTGTCCTTTTAGGGGAAATGAGCCTGGATTATGCCCCACATTTGAAGACTACAAGAGTATGGGATGTATTTCGAAGTGCAGAATGGAGAGGCAGGATTAGCTACAGTCTGCCAAGTTTGCAATGGCAGTAAGCATTTTCTATCTTACAGAAAACCAAGCATGCTTTATGATGTGTAAGCAAGATGTTTTCAGAAGCCTTGATGAGAGCTGTAAAATGTACAACAATCTGAGATGTAATTCTATTTTCTTTACATACCTTCCCATGACATATGATATAGGAACTACTCTTGGTCACTGCGGTGAAACTCCTGCTCCTTTTAGCTAGGAAGAAGCAGATGAGCATTGTTTTCTAAAAAAAAATAAAAAAGGCATTTTTAAGGTAAGAGTTGCTGCTATATAAGGTGCCTGATGGCTCACAATCACATCTGATGGTCTGTGCTAAAAATACTGATCACTAGACCAAAACACCAGCAGACGCTGAATGAGCTGCATGGGTGACGCTGAGGTCAAGTGAAACTTGGGCATGTGTAGGTACAAACACTGTCACATAACAACAAGCTGGAGTTTCTCAATTTATGCTATGAATAGCTCTCCCCAGCATGTGCTGAGGCCAGAGAGAACTCAGAGTGGAGGCACTTCCTGGAAGACATTTGCTGCTCAGTTTTATCTTCTTTCAGCCACTGTCGCTTTTGGTAGAGTTTAATTTCAAAACATATTTCACTGCTTCTCAGTTTGGGCAAAAACTGCACCAGATCACACCAGACAAAGCCAATCCACTGAACACAACTATTCTTTCCTGAGTCAGATGTCAGAACACTTCTGTTCACTCGGGAAATGTAGGGAGCACTTTGCCCCACATACTCCTAAGCAGCTTCCTTCAAAACAATTCACCTAACACTTTTTTCCCTTGGGTTTAGGCAATATTTAAATTGACAGCTGTGATTCATGTTTCTTCCCTGCTTTCTAGCTTCTCTGTACTTTCAGCTCATCTTGCCAGCTGCATTTCAGGATACTTACAAGATTGTGCACTGTCAGAACTTTGAGACTTAAAGTCTACCCTGACCATGTAACACCTGGTAAGTCTCAGTCACCTGTTAAAGAGTGACAGTGACTGGCTGTTCACAGTATTGCAGTTTTCACTTCTTGACTAAATTCCCTGTAAAACCCCATCATCAGCCCTTTTCCCTTTTCCGTGTTCCCTTGAGATACTCCCTCAAAGCCTGGCTGGCTGTGCTGCAGGCTGCCTTTGCTCCTGCCAATCCCACATATCACATGCCAACTAGGTTTTCCTAGAATCATAGAGTGGTTTGGGTTGGAAGGGACCTTGAAGATCATTGAGTTCCCACCCCCCTGACATGGGCAGGGACATCTTCCACTAGACCAGGTCACTCAGAGACCCATCCAACCTGGCCTTGAACACCTTCAGGAATGGGGCATCCACAGCTTCCCTAGACAACGTGTTCCAGTGCCTCAGCAGCCTCACAGTAAAGAATTTGTTTCCTAATAAGTAATCCAAACTTACTCCCTTTCAGTTTGAACCCATTCCCCTGGTCCTGTCACTACATGCTCTTTTAAATAGTCTTGCCCCATCTTTCTTGTAAGTTCCTTTCAGGTACTGGAAGGCCGCAATTAGGTCACCCCGAAACCTTCTCATTTCCAGGCTGAAAAAAAAAATTGAAAAAAATTCTTTTCTGCAAATTGCTTTGAGATTTGTGGTTCGGTTTGGACAACCCTTATCCTGGAAGTTTGGAACAGAACTTCCAATCTGTTTTATACAGTCTGCTAATTGTACGTATTAGTTTACACCCATTCTGTTAAGAGCTTGTTTGGGGTATCCCACAGCTCTGGGCTGAGTTGTGCAGGTTTTAATTCCCGGCGGGGTCCCAGCTCGGGTCGGTGCCGCGGCCCTCGGGGCTCGACTGCTCTCGCCTGCCCTCCGTCGCCCCCGGGCGGCTGTGGAAGACTTCGTCGCTCGGCTGGCGCTGCCTGGCGGCGTTCTAGCCTCGGCTGCTCGGGCCTTGGTCCCGCGCTCGGCGCCGCCGCCGTTCGGGCCCGCTCGGCGCTCGGCTGGCCCGCCTGGCCGGAGCTCGGCGCGGCGGCGGCGACACCGACCCGGGGCCGCTGCGCCCCCGGCCCCGCCCGGCGCCGCCGCCCCAGGTACGCTCCGGGCCTACGCGCGGCCGGCCCCGCGACGAGGTCGCGCCGCCGCTCACGGGCGGGCGGGCGCGGCCGTCCCCGCGGTGGCGCCCCGGAGGGCAGCGGGACCGGCCCGTGCCGGGCCGCGGCGGGCGGAGCGCGGCCGGGAAGGGGAGGGGGGCTCGCTGCCGGGGCCTTTGTGCAGGAGCTCCGGGGCCGCGGCCTTCTAGGGGAGGGGGCAGCGGGGAGGCCGCTGCGCTGCCCCGGGCCGGGCGCTGCCGCGGGAGGGCGAGATCGCGGCGGTGCCTCCGTCGGCCGGGGGGGACGGGACGGGAGCCTCCCGGGAGAGCGGGGAGGAGCTCCTGCCCGCCGGAGTCCTCCTCAAACCGGAATTTGTATCCGAGTTTGGGTGCCTTGCGCTTCTCTGCTCATCGCCCCCGCTTTCCCGAGGGTCCGGTCCGGCGGCTGGGCTGCTCTGGAATCATGTTTTTTGTCGTCGCTGTTGTTGTTTTCCGCCTTTACCCAAATAAAACATGTAGGAAGTGTTGGTTGCTCTATCTGTTATGGTATTCGCCTCGTGTTGCAGAACATTTGCTTTTGAAAGTAGTGTTTGGCATAAAATGCGTTCAGGTGTGTTTCCAGTTACTTTTTGTCTTGTGAGGGAGCGAGCCCAGCTGATTCACCAGCTGTGGGAACGTTTTTTGTTTTCATCTGCAACATTCTTCCAGACAACACAAGTGATTGTGTAGTGTTTTGAGATTACTTGTGATCCTGCCAGTACCGTGCATTCAGCTGCCTTTGGAAAGCAATTTTTCCTGCACTAAAACAGCATTTTATCTTCAAGAGATGCTGTAGGTGGTTACACGTAGTTTTTTGCACTACACACTTTTCAATGTTGTTCTGTTGTAACAGACTGATTTAAGAGTTGCTGTTATCTAGGTGCAAGCTCCTCCCCAGGAAGATTAGTTGTATGAGTGTGAAGTCTGTGTAAATGTGGTCAGTGCTCAGTGCTGCTCCATTTTCTCCTCTGTATGAAGTATGCTTTGGTCTTTATTTAAAAACCCAGTGTGTTCTTCTATATTTGTCCTTGTTTACTGCTCCACCCAGCTTGGTGTCCTCTGCAAGTGTCATCTGGCTTCTTTGCCTTTGCCACTCCCATCCTCTTTCAAATTGCTAATGGGAATGTTAAAAAGGGACCTAAGAATGACCTGCTGGTAATGTGCACTTACTGCCAGTCCATTACTGGATTGTTTAAGTTTGTTGTTGGGTCAGTTTTGAGAATGTGATGCAGATTTGAATGCCTTATGGGTGACATAGGCAACAGGACCTGAAATTCTCTGCTGAATTTAAAATCCTTTTTTGTGTTCTGAAGGGCTGCTGTAAGCAACATTTTCTAACATTCAGAGCTGTTAAATGTAGCTTGTGTGCCAGTTCTGGAGTTCGCAATTGATGCTTCTGTAGGTTTGGGGTTTTTTTTCAAATCTGGTCCACTGGTGTTTCAGCAGTCACGAGTAAGTGTGTTGTACTCGCCTGCTGATTTGTGGCAGTGTGGCTGTTAATGAGTAGGGCAGTTCACTAGCATTTATATTTTCCCTAATGCTTGAAGTGAAGAATATATTTGGATCCAAATATCTGGATTTGCCTTTTCAGATTGAGTTGCTGGGCAGTTTATGCTGAGAGTTTACTTTGCTGACAGCTTCTTCTCATTTTTTTTTCTTTTGCCCTTTTCTGAGTCATAATTGACCCTCTGGATTCTTGTTGGGTTGCTTCCTACTTTTCCATTTTCTGTGCAGCATTTCTAACTTTTATGCAGCTGTAACAGCCAGTTCTAAAGAAGGCAAGCAATGATGCCGTGTGCTACTATCCCTCTGCCAGAAGTTTGGCATTTGAATACTTATTTTTTAAAGAAACTTCTGGAAAGATACTGTGGTATCTTTTATGCCATGGTTAGCAAGCTAACTGAACCCATGGCTCTTGTGGAGTTATTGTTGTTGTGAATACTTATTAGTATTACTAATGCAAATAGCATTAAGGTACTTTTTTTCCCCCCCCCCTACCGAGTTTGCATTATCAAGGACCCAATAAAGGGCAGTAGTACTTGGTAATAGTTACCTTGTGTGTTTTTTG